AGCTTTTCAAGATGCTCTGAATTTGTCTTAGGTCAGTAGTTTTATGTGAGAAGCATACTCCAGGGTAAATTGGATTGGAGGGAAAGATGTGGAAGCAGTTATAGCTTGAAAGACACATGTTTAGTCAGCCCTGACTACTCGGTGATGAGAAGAGTCTTTTTGTTTATTAGTAAAGAAGTGATGTGTGGCCCGAAAGACTAGGAGAACTTGATAAAACATTAATTGAAATGAAAATGCCAGGAAAATAAGGGTCTGTGAATAGTAGGCATATGAGAAAATATATTAAGGTTGTATTGCTAAATACATTAAGGTTGTATTGCTTTTACCCAGGAATGAATTATGTGCTTCATTTTGAATGTGCCTTGCCTAATATAGAAGTCATAGATTGACAAATGTGAAGTTGCTGTTGAAAAGATTAAGCTCTTTACTTCCTTTAATTACAGATTACGTCTACTTTGAGAACTCCTCCAGTAACCCGTACCTAATCAGAAGGATAGAAGAACTCAACAAGGTATAAATACAGGGTGTTCTTGATTTTAATATTAAAAAATAATTGTTTTCCATTGAAGGGTAATTAGGTAAAAGGCATAAGAGGTGATTTTACTTTTATTCCTAGACTCTTTGAAACTAGAGATTGCAGATTAGAGAGTTATGCAGGATTCTGAATATTCTTTTGCTTTGTATAATTACCTGTGATATTAAATGTTACTGAAGTATTTAACATCTGCAGATTTCTTCAGATTGCTCAGAGCCTCTCAGGGCAGGGCACTCCTGTAACTCAATCCTTTTTTATATTTAGAGTCATAATTGTATTTCTCCCTTTTCAGTGAATTATTTTTTTCCTCTTCCATCTTTAGAAGGAGGAAGCTAGGAAATAAAGTATTGAAGGGAATTTGTAAAATTTTGGACTAGACTGACTAATAAGAATATAGTTTTGGTATAATGTAGATTAATTTACTACTTTAGGCCTTAAGTAAAGAAAACTTTTATATTAAGGTTTGGTCTCTGATCGCTTGTGTCCAGGACATCAGAAGCATTGTGACTGTTTGCAGTAGGTGAGCTTTTATAATGGTGACATATGAAAAGTCATGAACTGTATGAACCATGGATTACTAATGGTGCTCTGGTTTCCTCCAAACCAGCTTTGAAGGTTATTTATATAGCTTATGAGAATTCATAGCGTTAAAATTTTGGGGGGCTGTCTAGCTAATGCCTTTCCCCTCAAAGTACCATCTAGAGACTGGGCCAGTTCTGGGTCCCAGGAAGCAAAGTCTGGTTTATGAACCCTGAGATCTTGGTTTGCTTCTGGAGATATCCCCATGGACCTTGCATTTATAAAAATTCTGTTATATTTGAGACCACCACCACCAAATGAAGAGAATGGCCTCAGGATTAGATCAATCTGTGGGTGGGAACTATCGGGCGTCATTCTGATCTCTTTTATGTTATTGATGTATAAGAGTGTAGGCAACGTGAAACTGTTTCTCAGTTTATTTAGAAAATTAATTAGGATACAAAGAGAAATGTTGACCTATATGAGACATATTCTCTGGCTGCTCCCTGTCCCTCTGAGCTCCACTCTTTTTTATTTATTTATTTATTTATTAAAGATTTTATTTATTTATTTGAGAGAGAGAATGAGAGAGAGAGAGAGAGAGAGCACATGAGAGGGGGGAGGGTCAGAGGGAGAAGCAGACTCCCTGCTGAGCAGGGAGCCCGATGTGGGACTCGATCCGGATATGGGACTCGATCCCGGGACTCCAGGATCATGACCTGAGCCAAAGGCAGTTGCTCAACCAACTGAGCCACCCAGGCGCCCTCTCTCAGCTCCACTCTTAACTGCTCTCTGCCTTGCTCATTTGGCTCCAAACACGGTAGACTCTTGGCTGTTTTCACATCCATGTATCTTAGGACTACCAGTTGTTTCTAATCCCCTGTACCTTGCTCGGCCTTGCTCTTTTCTTCATATCATTTATCACCTTCCAATATACTTCATTATTGTGTTTATTTTCATTGCCTGTTTTCCCAGACTAGAATGTAAGCTCTGTGTGTAGTGATCTTTTCTGTTCACTAATTCATCCCAAGTGCGTTAGAATAAGTGACTGGCACATAGTTAAGGCATTCAGGAAATATTTATTGAATTAATGAATTTCTCAAATGTCTGACTAATGCTTGCACATAGCTTTACTGTTTACAAAGTATTTTGATTCGTTCATTTTACAGATACTTCTGAGGACCTGCTACCTGCCAGGCATTTTTAGATATGTGCTTTTAGGGATTCAGGGGTGAACAAAAATAGGTCCAGTAGTGGAGACAAGCATCAGCCAAATAATCCCACAAGTAGAAGGAAAATCACAGCTGTGCTAAATTTGCAAACATCAGAGCATGGTGTTCTGGAAGCATATGATCTGGGGATTCACATTTTTACTTTTGTTGAGCCTCAAAATAACCTTAAACCTTTAAGGCAGATGCATCATGGAGTTGTTGTGAGGGACACAGTGGTTATGTGACTGGGTTGCACATCTAGCTTGAACCTGGCTTATTTCGTACTCCTTTATCATTATATTACTGTTCACTCCAAAAGTATCCCTTGCTCTTCATCCTTACCTTCCTGGCCCTCTGCTGAAAGCAGAGGGTCCTTAATATAATAATGGTTTTTTTTCATTCTGGGGATGACTGAATTGTGAGAGATGAGTCTGTAATTTCAGACAGTGGCAGTTTGAATGGATGGATTATTTTTAAATAAGATTGGCTAAATACTAAATATTTATATAGGGTCTTTTTCTTTTTTGAAAATATTTAATTTATTCGAGAGCGAGAGAGCGAGAGAGAGAACATGAGGGGAAGGGGAGGGGCAGAGGGAGAAGCAGACTGCCTGCCAAGAAGGGAGCCTGATGCAGGGCTGGATCCCAGGACCCTGGGATCATGACCTGAGTTGGAGGCAGACGTTCAATTGACTGAGCCACCCAGGTGTCTAATAGGGCCTTTATTTCTGAAAGGATGTGGAAAAGATACCTCATTTTATTTTATTATTTTTTAAAGATTTTATTTATTTATTTATTTGAGAGAGAGAGAATGAGAGACAGAGAGCATGAGAGGGAAGAGGGTCAGAGGGAGAAGCAGACCCCCCGCTGAGCAGGGAGCCCGATGCTGGACTCGATCCTGGGACTCCAGGATCATGACCTGAGCTGAACGCAGTCGCTCAACCAACTGAGCCACCCAGGCGCCCAGATACCTCATTTTATATTTATTTATTTATTTAAAGATTTTATTTATTTGACAGAGAGAGACACAGCGAGAAAGGGAACACAAGCAGGGGGAGTGGGAGAGGGAGAAGCAGGCTCCCCGCTGAGCAGGGAGCCCGATGCCGGGCTCCATCCCAGCACCTTGGGATCATGACCTGAACGGAAGGCAGACACTTAACTGACTAAGCCACCCAGGTGTCCCAAGATACCTCATTTTAAATAATTCATTAAACAAATATTTTTTTTTAGTACCTGTTATGAACCAGGCACTAGGCTAGGCTCAGATATACAACAGTGAACAATATGGATGTGTTTTCTGCCCACACAGGGTCTACATTCTCTTGAGGGGGGCACATGAAAAGGCAAGGTAGTAGGCATAAAGAAAATAGCAAAAATGGTAACTTTTTTTTAAGATTTATTTACTTATTTGAGAGAGAGAGAAAAAAATATGAGTGGGGGAGGGGCAGAAGGAGAGGGAGAGAGAAACTCAAGCAGATGCTGCACTGAGCAGGGAGCCTGATGTGGGCTTGATCTCTTGACGTGAACCAAAACCAAGAGTCAGAGGCTTAACAGTCGTCCTGATGTTACCTGTTAAGAAGGAAATAAACAAGAGCCTTGACCTGGGGGATAACAGAGGTTACTTCTTTTGGTTAGAAAGGGAAAGGATTTTAAGGACATTGAAGTTGAGGCCTAAAGGTTGAGAAAGAGGTAGCCAGGGGAGAGAGGCCACGTGAGTGTTCCAGATAAAAGGCCCTGAGGGGATCAGAGGTCACTTTGGCAAAGTGGGGAAAGTTAACATGATGGAAAATCCAAATAATGAATTTAAGAGCACTTGATATATTCTAATTGATAAGCCAGGATGGGAAAGGTCATTAACCTAGAGGCTCCTGGCTGGGTCAGTCGGTAGAGTATGTGACTCTTGATCTTGAGGTCATGAGTTTGAGCCCTACCTTGGGTATAGAGATTACTTAAATAAAAAAAATTTGGGGGTGCCTGGATGGCTCAGTCGTTAAGCGTCTGCCTTTGGCTCAGGTCATGATCCCAGGGTCCTGGGATCGAGCCCCACATCGGGCTCCCTGTTCCATGGGAGG